CCAGACATGTTCTCCGACCTCATCAAGTGCTAACCCATAAATCCTCATCGATTTGTTCTTCATGCCCACCTAACATGGATTTTTTCTAATCGACTGGCCTAGATCGTTAAGCACAGATCGGTAGCAGCAAACCATCGTTTGCTTAGTACGGTCCACGAAAGACCACACTCCCACTGAGTTCATGTTCCACTATATCATTTCATTTTACAAACACTCATAAGGCCTTTAAAGGCCACATGAACCCAACAGTTTCTTGTTCTTTTTTTCTTTGAAAAATAATTTTATTCCTTGATTCACAATTCTTGTTATTTGCTAATTAATTCTCATGCTTATATTGTTGTTGTTGCTTCAATTTATGCTCCCAATAAATCTACAATCGGTCTTGTGCTGTGACCACAAAATAAGTATTGTTGTTGAACTTATTGAAAGTTTTAACAAAAAATTGTCAAATATTGCTCTGAGTAAGGTTATAAAATTATCTTTTAATGGCTTTAATATATCTATACAATAGCTGCAAATCATATTCCTATATTGTGTCATTTTTACAGGTCCGATTTTTTTACTATATTTTTTTGAATCAATCCAAAATATTAGCGATTCTATAACTTGTCTTATTTTTGGAGATTTGTAGTTTTAGCTTGATTTTTTCGTCCGACTTTTAAAATAAAACCGATTTATTACGTTTCGGTCCGCCGATATTTTGATCATTCCCCGGACCGGCTAAATATGTGGTGGACTAGGGGCCAATGGTGATATTTGATAGCTTTCAGGTGGTATATTTACATTATATTCGTCCGTACAGCGAAACTCGATTGGGGTTATCGAGTGGCGGGCTTCATATTTCTCAATTTAGGGTTTCTATCTCTTCATAACCTTATTAGGTTCTCACCACGGAGAAGAGACAGTCTTTCAACCTCCCCTTGCTAAAACGGTACGCATTTTCTCTCTCTTAGTTCTCAAATGTCTCTCTCTTGATTGTGATTTTCTCTTCCTATTTGTTCATGTTTTGCACTGTATATTTGATTTGTGTTTAATCCAAGATGATTTGTTCAAGCTTTGCACTTTGTATATTTGATTTGTGTTTAATCGAAGATGGAGCCTCTATACTGTTACCTTTTCGCTCTATCTGCTTCATTTTCTCTCTGGTAAACGTTAATGTCACATCTGAAACATTTTAAGACTATCTCATTGTCCGCTTTCGTCTTCTTTCATGTTTTCTTATTCGGCATCTTGGTTCTTGCCCTATAAAATATTTCGATTTTTGTTATAAATTCCAATTGTTACTGATTTGTTCTTATTGTTGCTGATTTTGATGGTGAAATGACTTGATTGAGTTAGATAGATCTGTTTTTTCAGCTTTCCATACATAGCTTTTTACTTGTCTTTAACCCCGTTTTTCTGCTGCTTAATGATCTTGAAAACCGCAGTGGGTTAACTCATTTAGCTAATAGTTACTTTGGATGAATTGTGGGTTTTATTCAGCATACACACATAAGTGTGAGAAATTTGGGCTACATTTTATTTTGCCTCGAAAAGAAATAGGCGAATTTGTGTGGTTGTCAGCTTGGTTATCTTTCTGTTCTGCTTATTGTCCAAATTTTTGTGTAAAATTGCAATTGAAAGTTGAAATTATATCTTGAACTGAAATGATTTTATCACGTGAAATGAACTGATTGTGTCGTATTTTGACTAAAATGAATGAACTCCTGCATTTAGAAAGCCGGTAGAAAGGTAATAGAGTTCTTTTCGATGGGTTGTTCTTCTCACCTAATAGTGCCATTTATTCAGATTTTTGTGCGGGTTTTCATTTTTCTTGTATGCAATCTATTTCTTGTATTTTTAAGAAGTAGGTTGCTTGATTAACTGTCATAATAATGACATATCTGTACCAACATTTGTGTAATGCTGACCACACAGAATATATGCTGCTTGCTATTGCTTTTATTGGTCCTGCCTAATGCAGGAACTAAGATTATGTCACCTCTCTCGAGATTTTTGCCCTATATCTGATTTTCTTATTTATTTGTCCTTTTTTCTGTGATTGTTTTGTCATGGGTTTACATAGATTCGACTCCTAAAAGAAAAGTTATTTGTGGGAAGCGCTCTGGTATCTAAATCGTGAAATCCTTTTGTTGGTTTTTCGCACCTGTGGGGGCATTGCCTTACTTGTTATCACGAACATTTGTTGGTTTTTTGCACCTTGGGGCGCATTGCCTTTTTGATTATCATTTGGAAATTCTTCTTTCTCATGATCATGCCTCGCTCTATAATTGCTACTGTTATCAGCCCTTTAGAAAAATTCTCTCATTTTGAGATTGAGATTCCCACTGTGCATCTCATGGCCCGGTTACCGTCAATATCTTACACTGCAACTCCTATAGTCCTTTCAATTTTTTTTATTCAACCTTCCCATATTCATATACCTCGTTCCCCCAAATTCTGCTCCCTTCTTTGCTTCCTCCACAGTTTCGTGCAAGCTTGTGATAGGCTCGCAAAATGCCAAGAGGCAAATCAAGTTCATCCCAAGTGGCGAAGCCTGTGGAACCTGAAGAAAAGGTGGACCTTGATGGAGACAATGAGGAGCCAATGGAGGAGGAAGTTGAGTATGAAGAAGTGGAGGAAGAGGTAGAGGAGGAAGTCGAAGAAGAAGATGAGGTGCTAGAAGAAGAGGAAGAGGTAGAAGAGGAGGAGGAAGTGGTTTATGAGGAGGAAGAAGAGGCCCAGGTTCCAAGTGGGACTGATGAGGACACAGGGTCTAAAGGCAAGGACGAGATGGAAGTCAAGGATTCGGTAGAAGACGAGAGTGAGGAGAAAAAACATGCCGAGCTTCTGTCATTTCCTCCACATGGGTCTGAAGTTTATGTTGGTGGAATCCCTAAGGATGCGACGGAGGAGGATTTAAAGGGGCTTAGTTCGCCCATTGGCGAGATTTTTGAGGTGAATATATATACGTATATATATATTTTTTCTATTCTGCGTTCTTGAAGATGGTTTGGAAAATGCGTTAATTTTGTCTGGTTTTTTCCCATGGTGTGGCAGGTTAGGATTATCAAAGGAAAGGATGCCAGTGAGAATAAGGGCTTTGCCTTTGTGACCTTCAAGACCAAAGAGTTGGCTGACAAAGCCATTAAAGAACTGAATCATTCTGAATATAAGGTATGACAGCTTTATATTGTATTGCATTGTCTCATTGTCTTTGTGTTGGATTAGCTGATGGCATGGCCTGAACTTAAGCTGATTTAGTTTTTTATCAAATATATTTTTTTCTATGCGTATACTCTAAAATCATTAAGAAATTTAAAAGCAAAAGAATCTCGTTGGGATAGGATGATTGATGCACTTTAATAGTGCAATTTCTGCTTCATGATGCATTATGTCTTGCAGGGAAGAACATTAAAGGTTTCTTCTGCTCAAGTAAAGAATCGATTGTTCATTGGTAATGTTCCAAGGAGCTGGGGACCAGAAGATTTGCAAAAGGTTGTAGCAGAGCAGGGGCCTGGACTTGAACGCGTAGACCTTATAAAGGTTATTAAACATGATACTTCTGAAGTTGATGTGTATGCTGCTTAGTTATCATTTGTCCTTTTCTGCCTGCACCTTTACCTGCCTTCCCTGATCTGTCAACATTGGATATTTTAAAATTTCTCTTTGTTAGGATTGTCTTTTGCATGCAATTGCAATTCAATTTTATTTATGGTTTTTCTGTTTTGAATGTAGGATGCTGAAAACCCAGACCGCAACCGTGGGTTTGCATTCCTTGAGTATTATAATGCTGCATGTGCTGAATATGCGAAACGCAAAATGTCGAATCCCAAATTCAAGCTTGACAACAGTGCCCCAACCGTTAGCTGGGCTGACCCTAAGAATCATGACAATTCTGCTGCTTCTTCTCAGGTACATATTATTGTGGTACATATTATTGTTTCAATCACATCTTAATTGTTTTCACTTTTCCGTCTCAATTATATTAATTTCTAACTTCAATTGTAAATTTGAATATGATATTACTATTGAGGTTATTTGTAATCTGGGACTGCCACACTTGTGAATAAAAAACTGTGGGTCCTGCCCCTCTTTCCGCCACTGTCCAATATTTCCCTGGACGATGATAACTGCAATTGCAGCATAGTATAGCTTCCTAAAATCACAGTCTCAGTTTATACTGAATGGAACAATTCATTAATGTGTGGGAGTCTCATGGCAAACAATTTCGCACGTTATCTAACTCCAGTTTGTAATACAGGTGAAGGCTGTGTATGTGAAAAACTTGCCTAAAGGGGTTACCCAAAATAAGTTGAGGGAGCTATTTGAACGTCATGGAGAAATTACAAAAGTTGTTCTGCCATCTGCTAAGAAGGGACAAGAAAACGCAAACTATGGGTTTATCCATTTTGCACAAAGGGCAAGTGCAGTGCGAGCACTTAAGAATACTGAAAAATATGAAATAGATGGTAATTCTTCTTGTTGACAACCCATGATTGGTAATAATTACTAATACCAATGGAGTATGATATAGAATAATCCAAATGCAAAGCACCAATGGCCGTTCCTATGATACACTTTGGAGATAAGTTTAGTGACATTCATCACAGTTCCAATTAATCTTTATATATATTCGGGAGTGGATGGTGTACCCCTCTTTGGAGTACCATATACTATACTCCATTGGATGATGTTATACCCTTATAATTCTTTATTTTAGGATGTGTCCCTTACGGTGCCCTATGCTTTGTTTAAATTTTGACAGGCCAGGTTCTTGAATGTTCACTTGCTAAGCCTCAGATTGATAAGAGCCCTAATTCAGGCCTGAACTCACATAAGGCTGGTTTGCTTCCAGGCTATCCTAGCCGTCTTGGTTATGGCATGGATCCCTACGGTGCTCTCAGTGCCGGATATGGTGCTGGGGCCTTTGGACAGGTACCTTTTCCATTTGTTTAATTCTCATGTTCCTTCTTTGTTTTATTTTATGCTTGTTCCTTGTTCTTTTGTCCTGAAATTTTTTCTCATCCTGCTGCTATGGTGTGTTTTGAGAGGGAAAACTGCAAAAACAAGAAGCATAAATGGCAGAAAAGAAGAAAAGAGAAACTTGATTGTGTTGGTATGTATACCATGCACTAACTGTGTATCGTATACAGTACGTAGTCCGGGAATCCACTGTCCATTAAAAACTATGGGGTGGTAGATATAAATTGTTTTTCCCCAATGATGGATGACCCAAATAAGTTAATCGTTGCTATCCATCTTATAGAATGGATGGTGTGGCCTGGATTTGCAGTGCATAACATGCATCAGGCCGTGCGTTGGTGTAATTCCCTTGACAATATGTCTGCCCCCCTTTGTGATCCACAACTATTGAAGCTTAGTTGCTTGTTGGTGCCCCCTAGCTTTTGTTTTGGTCTCAATTTTAATTAAGGGGGGAGCCAAGGAGGTGGCAGATGCACCTAGCTAATGAAGGAGTCCACAAGGAAGAGCTAGTAATTGTGTGGATGTTTGTTGGACTAAGAGAATGGAATTGGGATGTTATCTTGACATCTCTTCTCTTAGGGTTGCTCTCAATTTTCTCTATCTTTTTCTTTCCTTCCTTATTTTAATTCCCTTTGCTTTTCTTCCCTTTCGTATGGTAATTGCAGCCTTATTTTGATGCATATATGCTTGTATAATGGAGTTTACTCTAGTAAAATTTCGTTGCCCATCTATAAGGGAATGCTATTTAAAGAAATTTGGACTATCCAAATTTGTAAGGAGCTTTTTCTCTATTTTACTTGTTTTCTAATTCTATTAAAATTTCGTTGCTCATCTAAAAGGGAATGCTATTTAAAGAGATTCGGACTATCCAAAATTGTAAGGGGAGCATTTTTTATGTTTTACTTGTTTTCTTAAACATTTATTTTTGCACTATTCAATTAACCTATAGCTGCATTTATCTCTCTTTTAAAACGAGTCTTGGTACTTGTGCAGCCTATGATCTATGGTAGAGGCCCGACTCCAGCAGGTATGACCATGGTTCCGATGCTGCTTCCAGATGGACGGCTGGGATATGTCTTGTAAGTCTCAAAGTTTTGCCTTTTATTTAAATTTTTACTTCTTTTAATAGTTTCTTATTAGGGATATGTCATGTTATAACTCAAAAAGAGTTTGAAAAGATCCCGCACTCTTGGATATCTTCTATTTAATTTCTTTGGTTATGCCAAGTATGCTTTTTTTTTTAAGTACACCTCATTCTCAGGGATAAATTTGGACTGAAGGAATAGACATTAAACTTCTGATTATGGTGAATGACCGATATTTGGAACCTGATAATTCCAAGGTCATCAAGCATAAGAATTTCAGCAGATAGCTTAATGTTTTTATTGGAGAGAGCAGCTTATCCGCTTTTTTAATATCTGTCATGGTCTAGACAAGCACACAAAAGGAACTTATTATTTTTATTGGAGAGAGAAGTTTATCACTTTCTTAATTTTCTTAGTTATCTAGATAAACACTAGAAGCATACTTCTATAATTAAAAGGGAACTTATTTTTTTTATTGGAGAGTAGTTTATCACTTAATTTTCTTAGTTATCTAGTTAAACACTAGAAGCGTACTTCTTCTATAATTAAATATATAAAGGCAATTTCTTCAAGACAACAAATATCTGAGGGTTTTATATAGGAAAATTCTGTTCTTTGAGAGAGAGAGAGAGAGAGAGAGAGAGTCAAAATCTATGTTGATTTCTGGAAGCTCATACTTTCATTACATTTGCATTGTACCACAGGCAACAGCCAGGTGCTCATATGCCTGCACCATCACAACGAGGTGGTCGAAGTGGGGGTGGTGGGGGCTCAGGTGGGGGACGTAGACAAGGTGGTGATGACAAGGCCCCTCGAAGGTATCGCCCATATTGATATTTGTGGCTCCTTCGCTTTTACGTACACTATCTTTGCATCTCTCTGGCCCTACCTGCATTATATGGTCTGAGAAATGAGCAGCTTCTTTTATGGGTCTCTCAATGACCCCTGGGGACAAGGGGTTTGGAATCGTTAATACTATTGGGGATCCGTTTTGTGAAGAATATATTATACTATGTTCTTATTTGGGTGATTAGTCTTGACCTCTCTCTGTCCTTTGCTCCCATGTCTTTCGTGCTTGCCTTTCCTTCAGTCTGAATCTCAGAACTAAAATTGTAGAGATAATCATGGCCAATTCTAGTTGAGATTTACATACGGAATTGCTTCACCTTTAGGCTACATTATTATTTAGATGAGAAAGTTTCATATGTCCATGTTTGATCTCACCATTCTCATTGTTACCAAATTTTTGTCCTTCCCCATATATGATGCAATCTACAAAGTCATCCGAAAGTGCTCTTTGATGCTGAATCAAGTTTTTGACATGGTATCCATTCCAGATTGTTGCATTCTTGCTTTGTTTTTTTCCTTATTTCCATAGGGAACCTAAACGGGGCGGGTTTTCCTCTCAGAGTGGGAATTCGGTAACAAATAAAAGGTGAATGAGAAACGAAAAAATGTAAAATAAGCTATTCATTTTAATAGTGAACAATGGAAGCTCACATTTCACATTGGTAATTTGAGCAGTTCTTGAGCAGGTTGATACTTCACAAACCTGTCAGCTTTTTGATAATTTTCTGATGTCTTCTATGTTTTGAGGGTCACTTTTTCCTCTGCGCAAGGCTTAAGACCTTTTGCTTCACAATATGGTTTGCTTCACAATATGGTATTATGGCGTAAATGAAGGCTCTTTAACAGTTTGGCCCAGTGTCACCGTTTGGAGTTATTTTTGAGTGAGAATTGATGTAGAGTTTAATGGCTATTGAAGAAAGATGTACCTATTCGCCCAAAGAAAAGTAAGATGTACCTCAAAAAACACATCAGAAAATGTTTAGATTATAAAAAATTCTTAAATTGATCGATTTGACTTTTGAGATCTGTAGATATGAAAAAAAAAAGGGGGATTGTAAGTTGTGAAAATAGTTAGTTTGTAGTGTATTATCTGGACCGTGTATTTTCAAAATTTAATATTTTTTTCACAGGACTTTTAGCACCAAAACTGCATATTTCGATGTTGTTTAAGATGTGCCTTTAATTGTTTAATCTTGATGCCTTCTGCAAACTTTACCCATCTTAGAATTGCTCACTGATGATCACGTACTTGATTCCCCACTCCATGCATATGATATACATCCAAAATTTCCCACTTCGTGCATATGATGCATGTTTATGCTTGATGTCGAGTTTTAGAAAGATTTTCTTTTGGTGTTTATTGTTCGAATGAAATTAGTCACACTGACCCAAACATGTAGCCCAACAAGGCAATATATGCCTAGTGTTACAAATTATGTATACGTTCATATTTTTTGTAATAAACTAAATTGTAATATTAAAGTGACCCCCTTGTACCAAGGGTAAATAGTTTCATTGTATATTTTTTTCATAATATAAAACATCAAATTTAGTTAGTATTTTTTGTTGGGGTTGTTTGAAGAAAAAGTTTATATAAGGTTACTTAAAATGTAGAATTAAAGATGCAGCTAAAAAAAACCGTTGGAAAAGGTTGTTATTGAAAAACCCTCTAATTGATCATCTTGACATTGAGATATATAAATATGAAAAAAAGAGAAGATTTTAGAGTCATAAAAATAGTGCATCTTTTAACACATTATTTAGATTGTCTATTTTCAAGATTTTCATATGTTTTTAGATCCAGTTGATTTTAACCATTTTTGGAGTCTAAAATTTTATAATGAGATATTAAAATATGTTTTTATATAATCTTAAGAAATTTTTTACACCAAAATTATATGTTATCAAATTGGAGGTCCGCCACCCAATCTGTTGGTTGAGGATGACAATATACCTATAACCCCTTGGTGGCATTAGAGCTCCTATTGAGTACCATTGTACGAGTATCTGTTGGTATGAACTCCGGATGTCCTTAGTATAAATTATCATATCAATGTACCGTTCAAGAAAAACAAAATCATATAAATAAGTTTTTGTTAAATACATGAAAGAAAAATATGCTTCTAGTTAAGTTTAGGAAAAAAAGAATTTTACTGACAGAAACTTGAGTTGCAATTTTTTTCGTTTTGAATGTGATGATGTTCAAAGGTTCTCTCTCCAATTCACACATGGCTTAAGCCCAAAGGATACCAGCCAGCTCTGAATAAAAATGTCGGGTCCTGGTTCAATCCCACCCCCAGACATCATTGACAATCACGTTTTGAAGAATATAAAAAAAGGGTTGGACCTCGGACTGTCAGACTGAGACTTAGGGTTGGGTCCAGTTTGATGTACAAAATGTAAACTGAAAAGAGCAAAGGCTAGAGCCCTATGACTGTACTCGGGCATGGTGGGAGCTGGACAGCTCAGCCCAGCTTGTTGTACAAAATTTTGATATTGAAAAGGCTTAGTCATTCCCAAGAATGGGGTTGGGGCATCGGTGGGTTGGGGGCTCAAATGTCCCACCTTCCATTCTCATCGCTAATATATCCAAAAAAAGCAAAAGAAAAAGAAATATCATAGTCATGCCTGGGGGTCTAGGCATCCTGATTGATGTAATTGGGGGGAACCTACCTCTAGTAGGTTGTGCTAGGTTCAGGTCTTCTTGTTGGGCTGAATGGCTGGGCTCGTTAAGTGGTCTGCTCTGGTTTGCTATGGGTAGAGCCCAATCTGACACAGGCATCCATGTAGAGCCCAATCTGACACAGGCATCCATAACCAAAGGTCCAAAAGCTAAACCTGGCTATCTCACCCATGAGAAATGAAGATCCCAATTCTAAACCGCGATTGCACCCATCATAAAGTTCGTAGGATCACAATGAGGTATTCATTCCGCAAGAATTCTCTGGGATCTTGAAAATTCTAGCTACCCTATGATGTGGTGGTAATATCCCCATAATATCCCCAGGATATCGCATGAACGATTCAAGGTGGGGTGCTCTTCTCTTACCTGACGGACTCTGAGCATCACAGAACATGATTGGATTGATGCCTTGAGGCAGCTGCTCATTCTTGTGTTTGTGTTGCTCCGACGTTGCCCACAAGAAACGCTTCAATTCAGACATTGCCACGCCTTTCATTTCTTGAGAAAGTTTAGGGTAACAATATTTTCGTCAAAGGTCTCAAGACTCACTTTTTATAAAAAATTTAGAAATTAAAAGAGTGGAAAAAAAAAAATAGGGGCTGGCTTTAACACCTATGCCTTAGCATCGCAACCACCCAGCATGTTTTTTACGTAAATGAAATTGGCATGAAACAGTGCAAGTTAATAGTTAGGACCTCAAGAAGAACCACAAGGAATGTAATTAAGTCCTTCCCAACCTTCACAAGAGGCTAGGAATCAGAAGTGGAAAGTTTTGAAGTTTGGGATATTTGAAAGTTTTAAGTTCTTTTAAGAATTGGGCTTTTTTGGATTTTGGACTTCTTATGGATTAGGCTTAGGACTAAGAAGTTATTGGGAAGTTTTGGGGTAACTTTGGAAAATGGGTATGGCTCAAAGGAGGATGGATTATTAAAAATAAATTTGGGCTTGAAAGAAAAACCTATGTGATCTTTTGCCGGGGAAATACAATTTTTTTTTTAAATAATCACCCTTTATAATTTTGGTAACAAGATCACTCACATATGGTTTTATTACAAACAATAGAAATTCCAAAAATAAATAACACATCAATAATATAAATCTCAACTACTTGATGTCATTCATACAACCTAATACTGTGCTTGAGAATATAAAATAAAAGAACAAATAAATAAAAGAATAGATGCCGGAGATTACCTCAACTGGGCTTTTTACACCCCACACCCAGTCACTACATCCAATGACGTGGGATCTGTGGTCTAGCTTCAATTTCGAATCGGGATAGCTGATTTTGGCCAAACTATGTAACCACCCTTAAAATCTCTACTAAATATTAACCTCTAAAACTAACTTAGGCTTCCCTTTAATTTTTCCAACCCTTAGTTTCTTCTTAAGTCTAGAGAGGAGAGAGAGAGTACTACCTAGGGTTTTGTAGAGAGGAAGTTAGAGAGAGAAATATGGAGGAGAGAGAGTGGGTCGTGCCCCTCTAGGAGAGAGAGAGGTGAGAGAGAAGAGAGAGAGAGAAGAGAGAGAAGAGAAAGATAGGTGAGAGAGAGAGAGAAGAGAGAGGTTGTATGTAGAGATTGGTGGGAGAGTACCCCTATTTATAGGGGATATTTAGGTTTAGGGTTTCATAGGGTTTTCCTATAGTTTGCATGTTTCATAAGATTGAATCTAGACTGCTGATCACGGTGACTTGTGGGGTGAGAGATCTGAGCCATCCATTCCATAGATGGGCCATCAACATTATGGAAGGTGCTTGGACCATTATCCCTTTTTCCTTAAACCATTTTCCCATCAATATATTTAAATAAAATAAAGATCATACATTCCATAAAATTGCATGATCCACGTCACATATTCCATAAGGATATGTCAATAATTATCAAGCAAATAAATACTGCCAAATAAGATAAGGTCAATATTTTCCTTCCAAGATTTGACCACATGCCACAAATCAAAGTTACTATATTTGATAAACTTGAACACAAAGCAACAAAAGAATCCAAGGG